GATGGCACTATTGAGATCATTTCTCAAGAAGAATATAACCAATTATGTCCTAATGTTGTCAGAGATTACATAGAAAGACCCTTGATTGCAGAAGAAGCAAATGAAGAATATAACCATTTATTACCAAAAGAGGGTAAGAATTACTTGGATTACCCTGAAAGACCTTTGACTAGAGAAGAAGTCAAGTTTATAGATGATAAGAGAAAACAGTTGTCAGAAAAAAAAAGATTGTTAAAGACACATGATTTTTAGCCCACAAAACCATTGGAGATACAAGGATTACAGGATATAAGGATTAATGAAGGAAGTCCAAACTGAACTCTTGGAAGACATTAAGGCTCATTATGAGAGTAACTTTCCAGTGTTTGTTTATTACAAAATTATGTATTCTGATTAAAAAAAAAGTTTTCACTTTCATTTGTTGTGCCTTTGACCATTTAAATCGACCTTATGGTCAAGATTGTGATACACACTCTGATAATCATTTATGATGTCTCTATGATGTTCACCTCAAAAGTTTGAATCAGGGTATTTGTGTTCAAAGAGCTGAAGAAACTATACAGACAGATCTATAATGATTTTGGAAGCATACATATTAATGAGATTAAAGGAGATATAACACTTGAATTCATTACTAAATTATTAAAAAGAAAGAACACAAACTCATAGAAATGATATTGAAGTAAGTGTCATGCTCCAATGTGTGCTTTAACAGAAGGTTTACAGCAGTCCCATGCACTCATAAGAAGATCTTGGGTAGTAGAAACACCAGGAAATTTTAATTCCAAACAATCAGATCATCTTACATCAGTTATATGGTTACAGTCTTTATACATAACAGGGCTCTCACACCCATTTTTGGTACTGGGGCCGGGGCCAATGGAATTGGGAAAAAGCGAAGTTTTATAAAAATTGGGAAATTTTTACCAGTCATAATTTAATTCTAAAAACAAGAAAAATCAAATAAACACAGATAATCTGAAAACAAATCATTTTATTCATTTAGAACTTTAATTGTTTGTCTTTGGATGACTTAAAATGCTCCAAGGCTCTGGTCAGCTGCCTTGGAGTCAAGGAACCACTGGACTCTGACACAATTCTTATAATGTTGTCCAGACTCTGTTGTTTAAGACAGCTCCTGAGGGGTGTGCAAATCGTGTTCATAAGAGAAAACAGCCTTTCCACACATGCTGTGGAACTTGGAATTAGGCAAGACAACAAAACCAGGTGGTACATGGCAGGATAAGAGGCACGCAAAACATCATCCTGGAACTGTTTAAGTAAAAATTGTGGGTCTGCTAACTCTTCCTCAGAAGCTCTTTGTCTGAACAAAAAAAAATGAAAGAGTTAATTTAAAGACTACAACAATTAATTTGACTAAACATTTGATTTTTAAAACTTGAATTAAATAAAATTTGAGCTTTAAATCTCTGCCTCTTTCAACTGTAGTACACTACTTTTCATGAATTTCAATAAATTCAATTAAAATATGTAACTTTAGTAAATATAATAATATATATTGCTATTTGGTTTGAACTATTACTCTAAGTTTTATTTTATTAAAATATTATAATTATAAATAATTCACTGTTGTTAGTGTTTCCCTAAGTCAGTGTGTAACATTAAAGGGTTCCTACTAAATTAAAATCATCTTAGTAAGTTGATATAATAGACTATTAATTTACTAATATTATTTTAAACAAAAATTAGTAAAACAAACATGCAGCTGCATATTTAAAATCTGACCTGAATATTGAATCCAGAAGAGCTGCCATTTCAGTGCAAACTTTTACAAATAATTGTAAAACACTTACTGTCCTGGTACTTTAGACTGATTTATATGATAATCTCATTCTGAGATCTAGTTCATTAGCACTGAAATTCAAAATTAAAATAAACAATATCAATTCATAAAAAGATAACATTGAAACAATTTTATTTCTAAATAAAAAATACAAAACTAACATCAACATGAAAATATAACAAGAAGTTGGTAAGTAAGAATAAAACAAACTGGATTAATTTAACAACAAACTCCATAAAACAAACATAAGGATACCTCATTAAAAACATCTGGTGTTTAAACCCAGCAAACTGTTGCTTGAATGTTTCCTCAGAAAAGACAGGCTGGGAGACAGTCCTATGTCCCTTGAATACATCTTCAAGTGTGTTGCCATAATGTGATGCTAAACGTCTCATTTCCTCCTGCACAATGTTAAGATACTACCTTGATTATATTTTTTTTAAAATTAATATGACTAATTTAAATCTTTGGAAAATATTTAAATACCACTGACTGGGACAATTCACAGTACTGAATAATGAAATAATGTTTAATTCAATTCTTTTTTAATAATGTTTTAATTGATTTTTGAACCTACCTCTCCAAACGTTGTTAATTCGGCAACAGTATTTGGAACCTCTTTTAGTTCAAATACCCTAAATCCAGCCAGGACTGGCGAACAATGAAATCCGTCCTCAATCTCATGTATGAGAGCATGGATGAGGGGGACTGCCAGTTCAGCTACAACCTGGGTCATTGTATATACATTCACCCCTTGCCTAAATAGTAATTTAAATTTTATTATAATCATACTATTTAAATATTTAATTAACAGAAGACAATTGATATAAATGTACAATGTCCAATATAAATATTCATTGGAAAATATTAAATAATTTACCGAATTCTTCTTGCTAACTCTGTCCTATCATCAATTTCGGCCCAGTATGTTGGGAGTCTGGAGAAGTGTAAGTCAACATCAGGATCTGCATCATTGCCTTCAGCACACACTCTATATCTCTCTGTTAAATGGTAAGATTCATAACAGTGAGTTCCTAAGTAAAAAACATTATGATTTTTGTAAAATTGTATAATATTATCAATTTTGTAATCCAATTTAAATCATCTGAGGCAGAGTATTAATAAATTAAATATAATTTTTTTTTCAATTTGAATTATACATTATATAGTATCTCCTTGACTTCATATTCACTCTGCTGAAATGAACATCTCCTTGTAAATAGTCACTGAAGATGACAACTGGCTTAAGTGCATCACAAAGGACTGTTGCAGCAGCAATGGTCTTCTTATCTGTGAGCATGTTTCTATAACCTAGAATCTCTGGTTCTTTTTTGGCGTCGTATATTGCGTCCAGAGAGTCCAAAATTGAAGAAAACCTATCTAGAAGCCGGACACATGCACGCCCATGACTTAGCCACCTGGTAGCTGCAGCCCTTTATAAACTTGAAAGTTTTTTTTGATGATATGTTTCTTGTATTTCTTCAAAGACGGCATACCGCTTTGGAGAATAGTGGAATAATTTCCATATTCCAAGTAGTAGCGAGTCAAGCTCTTCGAGGACTGGGAACTCCTTTATAAGATGTTTAACACAGAGAACAAGTTTATGGTTTCTGCAATTAATATACACTTGATGAGGAACCAGATGACGAAAGCGTCGCCAAACACCTTAAATAAAAGTTTCCAAATATTATAATATTACTCAACTATTCACTGTCTATCTGTCAGAACACAAAGAGAAAATGAAATAACTCAGTAATTAACTATGAAAAAGCTTACATTATATTAAAGTACTTTTCACTAGTCTAAGAAAATAAATTAAAAAGTAATTAATATTTACCAGTGTTTACTCCACTCATGACATTGCAGCCATCGAAACCAACAAAGATGGCTTTACTGACGTACAGTCTTTGGCAATCAAAATGGATTCCAGGCTGGATGTCAGACTTTCTGCATCAGTGCACTGAAGTTTAAGCAGTCCCAGAAATACTTCCCGAATTTTTCCACCATCAACAAAACGGATTATGACGGCAAACTGCTCCCTGTTTGCATCATCGGCTGATTCATCAGCTAGCAGGGAATACCACTCAGCTTTCTTATAGCCTCCAGAATCTCACTCTCAATGGAGAAGGAAAGGGAAGAAACAATATCTTGAACAGATGATGGTGAAGTATAAGTGATGGTTGGGTGGTAGTCAAAGTAATCTGCTACAGGTTTGTACTTAAGCTCGTCTCCCAAAAACTTGATCATGTCTTTCAAGTTGTCAGTTATCGCCCACCTTTACTTAGCATAAATATGGTAGTCTTAAAGAGAGTTTCAAGATATTCTAGATTTCTCTTTTTGTCTTGTTCTTTTAAGGCATCATTTTGTTGTTGAAGTAATTGCAAAATTGATGGACTTTGATCAGACTTACCAGTGCCCAGGTAAATAGTCTCTGCTTGCTGGTGGGCTTCTGATTTATGATGCTTCTCTAATTTTCGTGTTGGGTGTGTTCCCAGGCTCTTAACTCCACCTGTTGCAAATGGACTAGTTGCAGTTGAGTCACTTTTACAGTCACCATACCGAAATTCACAGTACTTACAAAAGTAAGCTTCCTTTGCTGCACTGTGGTACAGCCACGGAAATGCCAATTCATGAGAAATAGCGGACTTCTTTCTGCTATCTTGAATTTTTAATTTCTTGGGTGGTTCGTAGTCATCTGTATCTGTGTCACTTTTCGCCAAGCTCTCGGGATTTGCTTCAATCTGATTTACCTCAAACTCCTCACTCGGCACACTGTCAGTCTGAATTTCCTCGCTTTCATTTTGCTTCGTCGTTTCCTGTTCGGTTGGCTGGGTGTCAGTAACCACTAACTCAGAATGAGATTCTGTTAATTGTTGAGCGGCAGCCTGTTGTTTAAACAAAGTGTCTATTTTCTTACATTTGTCAGTTTGTCTTAGTTGAAATCTTTTTTCTGTAGTACTTCGCATTATGCGACATGTTTGTGAGTAAACAAATCGTTCCTAAAAGAATTCGTAATTTACAGTCGACTTTCGCTTTCATACTAAACTGGTTCCAGCATATATACAAACTACCAGTTTACAACACGGAAGTGTTTCCCTCATATTTCTACAGTGCTTTTACGACTGTCACTCAGATATGTTTTATTTTTTAAGTAATAAATTTAAGCAATCATTCATTGGGAATTTTTACATTAAAATTTGGGAAAAAAGATGCCTTTTTCACGTTGGGAACGGGGCCGAATATCGGCCCCAATTATAGAGAATCGAGAGCCCTGCATAATCAAGAGGGTCATTAAGATTTCTTTTCTGGTCATCCTGATGTGCCACATTATAGTATTCTTTCCCTGTGATATAATGTTAATATATTAAATGGAATATTCAGAATTCATCAGCAATTGGAGTCAAAACTTGCTATCTTTACCAACTATGATATTAAGGAACTGGGGGGGGGGGGTTACAAATTAGCCATATTTAACTTATTCTTTAGATATGCTATCTTCAGCTGTTAACTATCATTTGGCAAAGAAAACTTTCATACATTTTAGTTTCAAAATTTGATCATGCATTTTTGTATATATATTGAAATGGAGCTCTTCTTCTTCTAAAGGAGACCAATATAGTCTAAAAAATGACCATGACCACCATTAGCCCTTTTTAATTTAAATATATCATTTACATATCAATTCAAAATTATAAACATGCATATGTAAAATAAAATAATAAATAAATATTACAATTGTATCTCATTGAAACTTTACCTTCAAGTTTGTGTGTTTCTATGTTGGTTGACTAACTGTGTATTTCCAAAGGAAAAGCAGACAGTCTGAACTTCATAGAGAATGGATCATAGATGGTTAGGAACAAAACATGGCTTCCAGGTTGAGGACTGTATAGAAAATAAAACCATTTTGTTAATATGACAGAGTACTGTGTGAAACAATGCATGTTTAAATACAACATGTACAATGCCAAAAAAGTTCATGAAAATGTTTGTTTTTAATCTCAAAACAAATTGTTTTTAACATTAACTCCAGATGAGAAAAGTTCATCATGTTATCTTTAGATAATAAAAAAAAGCACAATTACTGTATTGATATCACAAATAAAATGATTATCAAATTAATTATTTAGACACTAAAAGACTTCTTATTAACGACAGATTCAGTTTTGGTTTAATACCTATCAGTATTGCATACAGAAAAATACATCTTTTTTTTTTTAGCATCATCACAGTACAACATGTAGTCCTTAATTTTTTGAAGCTCATTACTAAATAAAATAAAGTGAAAATGAAAATATATGTATGCCATATATCACACATATTTAGAATCAAAACAAAAAGTAAATAACTTAGGATTAATCTTTTGTAAATTCCTCCTTTCTCTTATTAGATTCCTAATGAATATCTCTTTGATCACCATTTAGTAAGTCTGAATTCCCATGGGTAACATGCATAATGAATTATGAAATTAAATCATATAATTTATACAAAAGGACTTATTAATATTCTGAAGATCCCTTTATCATGTGTTAATATATTTTAGGTTAAATAAGGGTGTGCTTATATGAATGTAAGTTAGAGATATCAGATCACATAAGTATTATACAGTAATTAAATTAACCATATAATCATGCTTAAATGCAAAGATGACCTTCATAGGAAAATGTAAACAAAACAAAGACAAACTTACCAGAGATATCCCAAATATATGCCCAATAAGTCTATCAATTAAATAATCCAGTGAAATAATATCTCAGCTGATCCTGAAAAAATCATACAATTCAGTGATACACAATTAACCTCATTTTACAATGTAAGTAAAGCAATAATTTACAGACAAAAGGGATAGAAATGTAAAAGATACCATGTATTTTACCAAAATTTAGTGAACATTTTTCTGATTTAAATTCAATATCATGGAATGACCCATCATAGAATTATTAAATGCACTCTGAGTTACATGCAGGCTAAACAACTGTAAATCACATGAAATGAGGATAAATATAGTATTTACATTCAAAACAGGTTCAACATATAAATCATGGTTAAATGCAAAAATGACCTTCATAGGAAATGTAAACAAAACAAAGACAAACTTACCAGAATTATCCAATTATATGCCCAATTAAATAATCCAGTGAAACAACATCTTAGCCATACAATATTCAGTGATACTCAATTTAATCTCATTTTACAAAGGAAGTAAAGCAACAATTGACAGACAAACAGGACAGAAAAACATGTTTAAATGTAATGCAAAATAATATCTCTTATATATGAATACCTATACTCTAATCAATCATATTAAATGTCATTCGTAAAATGTATTTTTTAAGACAGATTTATTTAGGATCGACTTTTTAAATGATAACATGAATAGCACGCCATACTTTCACCACATGTCAAAACATTCTCTCAAATTACACAGAAATGGGTTATTTAGCATAGCTGACATTAAACATATAGGTGAGCGATAACATAATCACAATCATAAACAATGTGAAACAACTTTAAACGACCTACACTGTGGATTACAAGCCTTTTTCACTGGGGTAAAATCTTTGCTGAAATTCGCTATGGCCGCCCGAAACCCCGAACCCGACTGTATAAAAGATGAAGTCATACAATAACATAACACTGATTTGAGGAAAGAAGAAGAAAACTCTATCCGGTCCTACGGCAAGCATTGAAAGATCATAAGCGCGCCAAGCTTGTAAAAGACACGCTGTACATTGACGGCAAAGAATACATACCATCAGCTGGATCCGCGCCCAGCGCACCTGTACAATCGTTATTACCTACCTGGAATTCGACCTCGAGTTATCAACCGATGGATCAACAGAGCACGCCGCAAAATACCGACCGCCAGGCACTAAAACGACAGCGACAGGGATCAACACCTGAGCAGGCATAGGAAATCGCGGGAGAACAAACGACAGGGACAAATCCCTGAAAATTTTATCCTTAAATG